TGGGGGTGGATGGCCCCCCTGCAGTGACTTCTGCTTCATGAGGTGCTGGCCCCAGCCCTTGTTCCTGCCCCCTACCCAGGGCCAGCAGGACCACCCCAAGGGGCACCGACTTGAGTCACAGCCAAGGCAGGGGTCCCCAAGGAGTGGTGCACTGAGTAAAGAGCTCCTTCCCCATGGGGAGTGTTCCTGGTGTGGCTGTGGGACTCCTTACTGGGTAAGTGGCGGGTCAGGGTAGCGTGGGGCAGAGCCAAGTGCCCAGGTGGCACTGCAAGGTGGGTGGCAGCAGAGTGCTGTCTGCATGGAGGGACTCAGCATCCTTGGAACTGGGTCTCATTGCTTTGCCCCTGCCCTATCCCCGCTCCTGGAGGTGCAGGACAGCCCTACCCATCCATAGCTCACCGCGCTTCCTAGCCATACCTGCCCTTGTCCCAGTGCATTTGCTGACTGAGGAGCTGCCCAGTGCTGGGCCATGCATGGCATGTCTCAAGGGTGTGTGTGTGACTGCACTGCTGGGGAAGGCCACATAGTGGGGGCCTCCCCTCTCTGTCCCCCCTCCCCCAATGCCTGGCCCAGATGGCCAGCTCCCAGTCCTGCCCCCCTGCCAGTGGTTGGCTATCAGTGGTGGTGGAGGGGCTGAGGGGGTGGGGGAACAGAGACAGCCTATTGGAAGGCATGTTGGAGTGCCCCAACCTGCTGACCTTGACCACTGCAGGCAGCGTGCATGCCCCCCTCCCCACCAAGGGTGAATGTTCGTTCTGTTCACTCCTGACCTAACTTTGAGTGCTTAAAGTTAGTCACTTCTGCCTCAGGATTTTTGAATGTCTGTACTTAGCCTAGTTTGGGGAACTAATGAATTGGAACTTGGCTATCATGACAATCTGGAAGGCATTTTGTTAACATATCACCTGAGTGGGATTGTTAGGGTAGGAAATAATGTATGAATTCTCCTTCTTAATGAGCCATGAGAACTTAGCCAAGTTAAGTATGGCACTGATTTTTCTGAGAAAAATCTTACGCTATACATTTAATTTAATTGAGGAATGACAGCTTGTGTTTCATTCCCAACCATCATTTTATTCTTTTCCTTGCAAGACAGGAGCAATACAGTCCCTTGTGATATTCACCTCACAGATTGGGTGAGGCTAGCATGCGTGTTCAGTTGCCATTTTTTTCTGTTGTCTCTTTGTATTGTAGAATCTGACAGTGTTTGGCCATACCACACAAGTAGAAGTTTTCAAGAGAAAATAGAATTGTGTTAAAAGTTGAAGGTTAGTTTTATCTAGGCTCTATAAAAGGAGTTGAGATAGTTTTGAACAATTATCTGACTGTACTAAAATCCTAAAAAGTGAATTACTTTCACTTCAGTTCACTTCTAAGACAGACCCAGTTCTGTCTTAGACTTAAAAATGTGGATCCTGGTCTATCTATATACCCCAAATTTCTGTATGGTTATGGGTTTAGATCAGTTTACGATCACTTATACCAGTTTATGTGTAATGTACCTGGCCTAAAGTCCTTGAAACATGCTATTATTACTTACTGTATTTACTACATTTAGGGCGCAGCCATAAATTCCCCAGTGCCTGTGTATGTATGAGTTACAGAGGTGTCAAGCTGCAAACCCTGATCTACTATGTAGTCAATAATGCTATATAGTAGGATACTTCTGCAGTTGTTCCCATCCTACATCTCTGTGATAAATGGGTAATTCCTTTTATTAATTACTGAGACAACCTGAAGGGTGCATACCTCCAAAAACCACCTACTTTCTTCTTCAAAGTGGGAAGTGGGAGTTTATTTTTAATGAGATGCCCTATATAATGCTAAATATGGAAAACAAGACTGGAGCAGAGAATCCCATAGTAAGAAAAAGTGGGATTATATGTGAAGCCAATCTGTAATTTTCATGACAATAAGTAGTTTCCACTTGTTTGGTCTGCCTCTTGTGGTCATTACAGACTTCACAGCACTTCTCACAAATGCATGTTGGATAGCCCCAGAGCCCTAAATAAATTTCCACCTATGTAATTACTGTACGGTCTTACTTCCTACAGGCCATTTTCCATTAACTATATTATCTTGTACTTTCCCTGCTTAAAAAAAAAAGTCTTCCTGGCACTGCTGCTTTTCTGCAGTAGAAGCAACCACATTTTAATGATGGGCAAAGTGATCTTTGCATATATAGAGCCAAATTCATCCACTGTGCAACTGTTTACATTTCCAGTGCCAATGGATTTGCACTAGCCCACACCACGGTTGTACTATATCTGTAGGTTAAAAATAATTTGGGGCTTAATAGTGTTATTGAGTATCATTCATAGAACGAGAACTGATTGGTATATAGTACAAGCTATTTTAGAGTTTTAATCTAAATCTTGCAAATATAGGATGTAAATATGAAGATATTTAAATATAATTATTAAAAATATTTACCTTTCAACCTATGACTATTATTTTAAAATATTTTAAGGCCCTATGTTTTTTATCTAAAGCTGTGAAAGATGTTCATCTGTGAAAAGCATGCTCCAGAAAGCAGCATAGATCAATCCAGCTTTGTGACATTAAGGGAAAAATCCTTAGCTGAGATTGTGGCCTAAAAAGTGTAAACCAAAAAAACAGAAAGAAAAAGGGCATTCTTATATGTAAATAACTATTTGTCTCCTGTATTCCTGAATACAGACTAATTATCTTATCATTCATTAGCAGATTATTGAATTCACTAACAGTTTCTGGAAGCTGTTTGGCAAGAAGATATGGAAATTACTAACTCATAGCTGGGTAAGAAAAAAAAAAAAAGAAAAAAAAGAAGGTAAATACACACATTGCTCTTGCTCTCTCTTTCTCCCGCCCCCAGCTTCTCTTCCTTGGACACAGTAGATTTATTGCCTCACAGTACTCACAGATTATGTTTTCATAGTCACTAATGAGGTCCCAGCAGTTTTTTTTTTTTAAACAATAACAGGATATTACCACTTCTAAGATATATTATGTGTTTCCCCCATCTTTACCCATTTCTGTTGAATACTCAGAAGTGTGCCAGCATAAAAATTCCCATTTTATTATTGCGATAGATTGCCCAACTTGCATGATATGAAAAACTGCTAAGCTGTAACTTTCAAACTGTTAATTTGTATATAACCTTATAAAAGAAATGAGAAGTGTGCTATTCATGACTTTGTACATAAAAATGCCAAACAAAACAGTTTTTTTGTTTCTTCATACAAAAGAGTAACATAAAAGAGATCACATTTCAGTGCTGTGCATTCACTTTTACCCTCTCCAAGATCTTGGCTTTAACCCATAATTCCTGGCAAACTTGCTTGAGGCACCCAGAGAATATTTATGGGTCATGGCTAAGAGTAACATGTTTGCAAGCCTGGTTCACCATAGTCTTCCTCAACTAATCCAGCAACACAGATTAATTTTGGTCCTTATTCAAGAAAGCCTGGAAGCATTTGCTTAATATTAGGTAAATGCCTAATTTCTACTGACTTCAAGATCAGCTCATATTAAAGTGCTTTCCTTTTTTGTGAACGGGTGTCTTCATGCAACAAATTCTTTCATAACAAGAAAGAAATCCTGGTCTGACTGACTTGATGGCGCACACTGCCTCCAGCAGTCAGATCGCAAGGTATTTTTTTCACTAGAAGTCACACATTTTCAGAGCTGAGAAACAATGGTTTCTTTGTTTGACACGTAAAGGTTTAACACAACAAAAATTATTGAAACTAAACAACAACATTTAGGGAAGAGAATTTGCTCTAGTTTATTTAGTTCTCTGAAGCAAGTTTGCTTTTCTATTCTTTTCTTTGTCAAAGACTTGCACCTTTCATTCAGAAGATTGATTTTAAGAAAGCTCCCTCCTATAAGCGGACTTGCAACAAGTAATGTTCTACAATCATTCTGAAATACTGTTGAAATGTATGTTGTAGTTCAAGGTCCCAATCCTGCCAATACTCATATACATACTTAACATTAGACATACAAGTATGCCATTTCACTGATATGGGATTACTCACGTGCCTCAAGTTAAGTATGCATGTAACCACGCAGGATCGTGGCCAAAGAAACCATTTGTTAGAAATGAATCAAGGTCAGTCAAACTTTTAAAGCAAACAGATTGTTATGTTCTTAACTATGCTGCATGCTTCCCATACATTTTTAAATTCTTTCCTAGTTCCTTCTATGTTTATCTTTTAGTTTGGTAAGGATGTATCAGCAACAGACAGAAATCCAGCCTTGTTGAAGTTGACAGGAGTTTTGTCAGGATTTCATCTCAAGAAGCATACAAACATAAGAGGTTACCACCACTTTAAATTTTTTTTTTTTTTTAAATAAAAAAAGGAACAACTTCACTGACTAATTTGTTATCAGTTTCCTTGGCTATTTCCCCTCCTTTTTCCTTAAAGCAAGTGATTTGACAGAGGATCTGGGAGACTGTGTGCACAAAAAAGGCAGTGGGAAAGAGTAAAAATTCCCGTGATTCAGGGCTTCTGTGTATGGGACCTTTTAATGGGCCTAGTTCTTTCTACTTTTGAAGTCAATGAGATTTTTGCAGGAAATTCAATGAGAGCAGGAATAGACCAGATATTTATTATGTTATAATTCCTTTTTCTGACAGTGATGGGCACAGCTGGGGATCATTTTTTGTTTTTATAAGACTTGACACTCAGATCCCTACAAGCAAACATTTGTCCCCCCTCCGATCTGATGGCACCATCAGGATCTTTTTGTTTAAATGCTTTTTGATACCATAAATCTTAATTGTGAATGGTTGTACAAACTCAACTTCAGTCAATTATGATTTCAGTTTCAGTTTCTCTCTAGTTTCTATGTTTTAAAATTTCTATGAAAAATATAGCTTAATGGAGCAACATGGCAAACACAACAAAAGCAACATTACATTTCATGAATAAATCTAGCCATCATTGAGAAATAATGGTCAAGAGGATCTTGGAACTCCTTCTGTACAGACATGATAAAACAAAGTGTCCACTTACATTTCAGGTAACTGGAGCTAGTGCTGTTTTCGCTGAAGTTTAGTTGTGAAGGTCTTATGCCTTAACCCAAGTTTCTCTCTCTCTGTTCTGCTCTACATTTGAACGTGTTAGTCTGCTGAAGTTGAGCCTCCTCTTCAGAGCAGACAAATAGTTGGAAGATCAGGACAAAGGAAAACAAATTTAGGAAAAACCCAGCAGTGTCCAGAAAAAGATCCTACTTTTTTAGATTAATAAGTTACCTCTTTATCTCCTAAGTTCTTGCCTTTTCTCTTGCATTCTCATCCCTACTGTTTTTAGGAGTCTGGTCATACATAAGACTGGCTGTGTGCAGATCAGCTCACTCCAAACAACACCCCCCCCCCCCCCCAATTTCTGTCATATTGATGAGCTTGAAGTGTGGGGGAGACTAATTTGACAGAAAAAAAAAATTCAATGCAGAAGAGACCATAAATGTATGGACACACTACCTGGAAACTAATCAACACACAAAACAAATGGAAAACCTCAGGATTGCTTCCCTGATGTTTCCAAATTCACTCCCTCAAAGTGCGGGGTGGGAAATGAATCTTCATGGGCTGGGTGCTTACTGAAAGTCTTGCATGAGAAGAACAGGTATTTTGAGGGAAGTTTTTCATAGGTGTTTTGTAACAGGGGGCCTTCGCAGGGCTGATTTCCCAGTGGCCCACCCACCTGTTTCTAGGCTAACCGCCCGCCTTCTTGCCCACCATGCCTTGTTGGTAATTAATTAATTGATGCAAGTTAAGTGAGAGGCTGCCCATTTCCTGCCCTGATGCCAGAGGGCGCTATCTGTGGCTCCGTTCCTCCCCTACACTGCAGCTCAAGACTTGCAGATGGCATCCAGATATTATCAATATCACTGGCCCCACACTGGGCCCCAGAATCCTCCTCAATGAACCCCACCTGGATTCCTCTCCTCAGGCGGTCTCATCCACCTTCATACTGGGCAGCATTGCTCCCTGCACTGCTTCCCCCTTCTGGGTGTGGTCCCCCCCGGGACCTTTGGCTATGAGCCCTGGCCCACCCCAGGCCCTCAGCTCTTGGGCGTTCCTCACGGTGGCCCCCCGGCCTTTCTGGTCCTGGCCCCAGCATGGACCAGTCAGGGGAAGTTCAGACAGGTTTGAGTCTATGGCCTCACTCTCTCTCTGGGGTCCACCTTCCAGACCCTACAAAGGGGGTTACCCACCCAGTTGCGGGAGCTGGATTTAAGGTGCCCTGACCCACCTTTCACCGGGGTGGCTGCTGGCTTGGCATTTCTTGGGGGCTCCCACACCACTGTGAGCCCCACCAGGCCACCCACTCCTGGCAGGGTGCAGTTTTAGGTCATACCCAGAACCAGGAGCCTCCTGACCATCCCCTACAGCTCCTCCCTTACCTCCAGATGATACCAGTAGCTAGGCAGTGTTGTTGCCTAGCTCCCAGCAGTGAAATGCCCTGCTTATATGGGCAGCCCTGAATCTAAAACGGCTGCCCTCATCAGGCACCTGCCAGCTGCTGTCTCAGGCCCTTAAAGTGGCCGGCACAAACAGTGCCCTGCCACATGTTTCCTTTTGTGGGTTGCTGGACACCTCAGACAGGAGTAGAGTTGTCTGAGGGTGGCTATGAATCAGAGCTGGCAGGAATAAGCTATCCTATGAAGCAAAATGTGGTGGAGGCAGGTGTCTCATAATGGGGATGCATTGGGTTAGATGTAAGGGAAGAGGTGTCTCTCTATAAGAAGCTAACTGTGTAAGTTTGCATGTTAGTAGCACGGTCATAGGCTTGTCAGCGGACCCCCTGCTACAGCCTGAAGATAGGCTACAAATGAGAGGTAGGATCTGTTTCATTTGCAGCTTGCATTTCAAGAGCCTTTGGCCTGCAAGTCGGAAACAGCTCATTGGAAAACCATGATTCTAGTAGCTGTTTTCCCTCAGAGTTTATGGCTGGTATGTCCTTTGTGTTCTAATTTCATAATTGATTAATATGTTAACAGTGAAACAGATTAGTTATTTCACTTGAGGGCAGTCACAGAGAGCTAAAGGCCCATCCTTTCTTTGTTACTTTCTTTTTTGTCCTGCTCTTGAACTCTTATCAGCATCTTCCAGAGGGAGAAGTAGTAACAGAACAAAGTTCACTGTTTCTTAATGCCTTTACCTACATGGTTTATTCAGTTGTTTTTAATGATATTTTAAAAGAAGTTATGTTTGTTTCAAAATCCTCCCACCAGAGCTTCTGCTGGCTTCACAATGAATTCTTACTTCAACAGTCATAATTAATGTGTCTCAAGGCAGAGGTAATATTTCAGTTTAAACCAGGCAAGCTTTTACCAAAAGCTAAAAGGGATGTTCATTTTTCATATAAAACTAATAATAATATGTAGCACCAGATGCACAGCTACCTGTTCTGCAAAGGGAGTTGCTAACCTCCCCCATAGGGCTGAACACAAATGCAGGGACCTTTTGCAGCAGATTTTGAAGCAGGATTGGGGCCAAAGGTCAGCAGATGGGAGGCTCAGAAGTAATAAATATGACATTTAAAAAAGCACATAATACTTTGCACCTTTCACAGTCCAAACAATGCATATGTCCTGGGGCTGGTGGAATCTGTAGTGCCACAAGATACTCAGAACGGCAACTGTAACCAGCTATGGTATCACAAGAGTGAAGAATGCAGAGCAGAGATAGGAATGGGGCTAGGACACACAATACAACCCTTGACTAGCCTTTGCTACCCTAAATAAAGACACCATCTCTCTGTGGAATCTTCAGGGTGGCTAAGTGACACAAATGAAGTCTACTGTTCCCAAGGGTGATCTCCACTGTGGCACCAGGGTGCACTTTGATGTCCTCAGTTGGAAGGGAGGGGAATAACACCCATCTTCACTCCTGAGGCAGACCGATTAAATTTGAAAATTTGGACTTGGCTATTCAGAACCATGGCAAGGAAGTTTGGCACCCAGGACAAAGCCTGTAGCGGCAGCCCGCCCTCGCCCTGTCCACAGATCCAGGGGGCACACCCCCCCATGCTTGCCCAGGAGTGCATGCAGCAGTGGGAACTGCCTTCCCCCTGTCCCTGCTCCCCACTCCCCAGAATGAGACACTTGCAGCCTGTCCTGCGCCCTGTCTCAGCTGGGCAGCGCCTGTTGGTGCCCCTTTGCTTCGGCACCTGGGACAGTCCTCTCACTCATCCTCCCTTTGCTGTGGCACTATGGCTATCTAATACTAAGCCCCTAGACATGTGAAGCCTGATTTCACAAAGGGATCAGTACCAAGAGCTCATACTGATGTAAGTGGAAGTCATAGGTCTTTTGGTCATCAGGTCACTTATGTAGGTGCCTAATCTTTAAATATGGGCTTAGAAACCTAGTTTTAGGCAAGATAGGCAATGATTCTAGCTCTAATGTAATTATACTTATTTTTTATCTGTTTAGGATATGTTTTGTGTATAGTCATTAATGAGGCATGTGTTGGCACCTATTCTACAAGAAGTTCCTAATAGTCAATGTCACTTTGCTATACTAATGCAGGGGGAACAGGAAGGCAATATGTGGTAGTAATGAGGTTTTTAAAAGACATAAAAAGCTAGTGCCATTTAAAGTGCCACTTTGGTGATCAATATCATTGTTAAGACCGTGATCATTTCAGAGCCACAGTAAGGAACCAATGAAATCTTTACAGACTCACTACATCATGCTTTTGCTATTATGTTCCTAGAAGAACCATATAGTCATAGAGCTCTTATCTTCCTTCATTTCAATTGAAATAAAAAAGATTAATGACATTAAACCATGAGAAATACTTTTTCACATTAGATTTTATGTCTTCTTTTCAATTTACTAAAGAGTAAGGCATCTTGTTCAAACCTCTGTGCTGGTGCTTTCTGTAAAGTATACCCATCTTTGTCTTCAGCCAGAAGTCTTTTCTAATGATGTCCCATTCATAAAAAATGCAAGAATGGCTCATTTTGGTTTGCAATCACAAATATAGATTGACTGTATACATTTAGCCTCTCCCCTCCCCCCTCACACACACACACACACACACACGCTCTCTCTCTCTCTCTCTCTCTCTCTCATGAAAACCCATAAGTATTGGGATAATAGGATAAAAATATCCAGGTATTATTTGGAATTCCAGATAATTTACTACTAGGAGATTTTAGGGACTTTTTTTCCCCAAGTGATTCAATATGTGCTGTTACCTAACATCCAAATCAGCTTCATACAAAGCTTTATGTGCTCTTAGAACATACTGCACTTAAGCTCAGTAGGACATAGCTTCCTTGTTATGACAGATATAGCAGCAAGTTCCAAATAACAGTCCATTTGCCCAGTGTAGATTTAATATATTAACAAAGTTAACAAATGATATCTTATTTCTTGCTCCTTCTGGTGTAATGCAATACTTACAAAAGCATACTAGATGTTCCACTTTAGTGACCCTTTCTCTCTCATGGAATGGATACACACACACACCCCCACACACCCTCCATTGCTTGCTCCTTCACATCGACCTTCCAAAAAATTATTTGGAGATAGTACAGTGTTTCCTAACTAGATTACATGTTATGTTCAAGTTTTCTCTTCAGTGAGATGAATTGTGACAACTGTAGAACAGAACAAAAAATTGAACTTGAGGATGAAGATTTCATGGCACCTTCAATAGCAAAACAACAAAACCATCAGGGAGCTGAATTCCTCACATGTTATCATGTGTCTTATTTAGTACTGGCAAGTCACATCACTGTATATGTGGTTACACCCATCATTTCTCTCTGATTTTGTTTGGGGCAGGAGGGAACATTTTTTTTTTGCCTTCTCCTTATTGTGACCTTCTTTTATCTGATTGATCACTCCAGCTAGATCTCTATTAGTTTGCAAGGGTGGGGGTGAATGTTTTCCTTTTTTTTTCTCCTTCTCTGCTTCTGCTGTTAATTGTCTGTATGGATGTTATCTTATTTATAAGAGAAAAATAGAAGATTTGAAAAAGATATTTTGCCTGGCTCACATTATAGGCAGGGATGTTGTGTAAGAACAAATGATAGAAGGGAAAAATGGTTTTGATGGAAATTTCAGGCACAGAAGTAGGAGTGAATGGTATTGTTTTACAGCAGAGAATGTTAGGTGTTTTTTGTAG